TCATCTGCAAACTTACTGACAGTGCACTCAATCCCCTCACCTGATCATTGATAGAAATATTAAATGGGACTGGACCCGATACTAACCCCCTAGGGGACACTACTAGTGACTCTTCTCCAGCAGAATTTAACTGCATTCACCACAATGGAGTTGTGGTGGGTTGGGCTACCCAGCCAGTTTTTTAACTAGTGCAGAGTGCACTTGTCCTAATCACGATCAGCCAATTTCTCCAGAAGAATGCTCTGGGAGACGGTGTCAAAGGCTTTACTAAACAAAAAACATCCACAGCCTTTCTCTCATCCACAAAACAGGTCACTCTATCACAGAAGGACATCAGATTGGTTGAGCAGGGCCTGCCTTTCCTAAACCCATGCTACCCTGGTAGTCCTGCATGTGCCATATGATCTATGTGCCATAGATTGATCTACTTAATGACCTTCCCCAGCACTGAGGTCAGATTGATAAGCCTGTAGTTTTTCAGATCCTCCTTCCAACCCTTCTAACAGATGTGCATCACATTGGACAATCTCTGGTTGTCTGGGACCCCCCTTGTTAGCCAGGACGGAAGGAAAATGACTGAAAGAGGCTTGGTGAATTCTTGTGCCAACTCCAACAGGAGAACCTAATTGTGTTAGTTTTAGCAGGTCCTTAATCAAATGGTTTAACTGCTATGATGCTTTCACTTTTGCAGGGAGACAGGGCTGATAGCAGCACAGGAAGAACAATAATATCTTCACTTGGGTAAAGGTAGAACACTGCCAGAAACTTCCCAAAATCAGGCTGAGTGCAATTCTGGATGACAGGTGAGTATGACACTACAGAATGACCCTCACTAAATTCTACATTTCAGTCCTTCAGAGGTGAGAAGAAGCCTCAGTTCATGCTCAGCATGGGCTTTAATAAGGCTTCCCGTATCTGGAATCCTGGAGAGAAACCTTGAGGATCATTATCTCATTGCTTGATTGAGCAGGCATCTGCTGTTTTCACACCTTCTTGTACAGTTATGTATAGCTTCATTATCCATCCTTACTTCCTCCAAATGAGTTTTGCAACGAACTCAAAATGACATAACACTGATAGGCAAAGAAAAATCCCTGAGCTTAGAGGGAAAAGAAACATGAATGGGACTGGGAAAACTAGATTTTAACATGATGGGCTTAGTGCTTTAAGTGGATCTGATAATTATTAATGTAGAAGTTTGTTTATTAGATTCAAACATTTAAATACAGTTTTGTTTTATACCCTTGTGTATTTATTACAAAAGCTCAGAAAGGATCTTTTGTTAGAAAGATTTAGGTTAGAAAAATGGTTCAAGAAACCAATTTTTTTCCAAGGGAATACATCTTACTTTAAGATTGGTTAACTGGTTAAGCATGTTGCTTATAAAGCTGCAGTTGTGGGTTTGATCCCTGTATAGGCCATTCACTTAAGAGTTGGACTTCATGACCCTTGTGGGCCCCTCTCAAATCAGACTATTCCATGATTCCACTTTTGCCTCAGGAAATGGCCATGCCCCACACAGGTCTATCAGTTCAAGAAATCCATTTTCTCCCTGGTAAACAGTATAGAAAGGAAGAGCAAGCAATGGACTTACTGCAGAAGGATGGACACATAAATTTGTATGCACATATATAAAATACAGGACCATGTATGACAACCCTTTGATGTCTGTAAAAGTTCTACTTGCTGAAGCTCGTACTATCAAACCTAATGCACCGCTTAGTGTGACAGCTGTCAAGCTGTTCACACACAGAAACTCACTGCATTTACCAGGTTTAGCTGTGGGGATTTTTTAAAGCAGACTGGCATGTATGAATCAAACAACTGTTGAAATATAAGTGTCCATGGACACATGCGTATCTAATGCATGTAGGGAGTGAAGACATTTTCTAGACATCATTGACAGACCAACGGAACATGAAACCTTAACTTTCTGAAAAAGCCTTTGGAACAGATTCAAAGCAGCATCTTAGAGGTACTTTTGTCCTGTGACTTCTATGGCAACAGGCTGTGTCCTGCCTAGCACAGCAGGAACTGAAATCTGACATTATCTAACAGCTATTTATCAGCCCATATAAAATGAACCGACGTGGTTAACTTGACCTACACAGACCTACAATCAAGAAAACTGGAATGCTTTTTACTCTTAAATAAAGCACATGTGACCAGCAAATGCTGTAATTCTGCGCTGGAGTGCAGTCGTGGGTCAATATCTACCTAAGAAATGTATTTTAGCGTTTTGCTGAATGATTTCTGGAATATGGCGTCCACTATCAATTTTCACATTTTTGAGAGTTAAAAATCAGTTCAGTGAAAGGAAATTTAGCTGAAATTCACATATTCATTAATTACATTCTCAGACGCTATTGTCACTTACTTTAATTTAACAAACTGTACAATAAACTCTTTCGTACAAAGTTTAGTCACACTTAAGAGCTGTTGCACTTTACTCTAGCAGCATCTACTAAAACACAGAAATTATATATTTATCAGTAGTTTCTTTCTCTTTTCTCCAGTCAGACAGACAGCACACTCTCTATATTTCAGGTGTATTAGCTGACTTCCAAGGAGAAGCCTGGTAATGTATGCAGTTCTTTATATTTTACATTCTTCTTTCATCTCCAATGATCAGGGTTAAGCAAGGGAATCAACATTACAAGACAGACAATGAAATTTTTGCTTCAACCTGGCACAGAGAATTTCTTAACTTTGTTTTCCTGGGATTAATACTGTTTATCTTTAAAGTGCAATACAAGGAGCACTACATGATTCTGTACCTAAAATTACTCTTATTAGCCACATCTCTGAAGTTATGTAACAACTGACACTGTGTTTTACTGAGCAATTTAATGAGCAATTCTGTGTAATAAAATTCAAGCAATGCTGAAGGTCTGTAAAGTCAGAAACCATTTGCTGTGTGGATGGCTAACAGAAAAATGGCAGCTGCATTTCCATAGCTGCTGAAGTCTCTCCCCTTCTTTGATAATCATCTGCTTTTTCAAAATGTACAGGGACTTTAAACCAGTTAACAGCAAATAAGGAAAAGTCTGTTTTCTTGATACTTCTCTGACCATAATTCTATATTTCTCATTGCACAGATAATTAGCCTGTATCTTAGAAATTCCTAGGATTTTAAGCATAATATCTGAAACCAGAATATATGAATGTGAGGAGTGTGCATTGAGAACAGACCACTAAAGTTAGGTCTGGTTATATTCTCCAGTTGCTGGAAAAACTCTGCAGTTCCATGTTGACCCCCATCAATAGTTACTTTCCACAGGTTTTACTTGTATTGCACAACAGCAGCAGATATCCAGCCATGATTTACAGGCTTCCAGGAGCTCTCCTGGCTGCCCAGACCTTTCAAAGACGATTGTGAGCAGCCACTGCTAGGTGTCCACCAGCTCCGTCAGCACTCACGGATGCATCCCATCAGGAGCCACGGACTTATACCTGTCAATGCATAGATGTTCTCTAACCAAATTCTCCTTGACCACAGGAAAATCTTCCTTCCAATATTTCTGTACCCTGATATCCTGGGTCGGTGATTCTTAAGGGCTGCTCTTGTCAGTGAAGACCAATGAAAAGGTGGCATTCAGTAACTCTGCCTTCTCTGCTTGCTCTTGCTTAGTAGCATGTCTGTCATTATCCTTCACTTTCTTCTTGTTATTGATATATTTGAAACCATTCATTATATACTAAAGACCATTCACTTTAATAACGTTATTCTGAGCTTCATTAACAGAAAAATATAGCTCCAACACTTATGGCTGGTAAGGTTTTTTACATCCCCTGCTTAGCAATTTGTCCTCACAAGAGCAACAGAGGAAAAAACACCAGCCCCAGTCTAAGCAAACCATATTCCCAGAGCAGTCTGGCTCACCAACAGGACAGCAATGGAACACCAAAGCATGGCACACCCAGAAAAGTTTAGGAATTGTCTGTGAGATACTTGCTTTACTGAGCAATTCTTCCTCTTCTTTGGGACATTTCTCTGGAAAAAGGCCAGGAAAAGGACTTCCTAATGGGTGTTTATACATTCATTAAGGTACTGGATAGAAGACACTGATGTTATTGTCATGTTGTGTTACTCCATTCAGCAACACCATCTGGAATAACTTACTGTATGTTTGGTACTGGACCTATTTTTGTTTCCGATGAAGTATATGTTCCTTATTTAGTATATTTTCCTATTTACTGCAGTCTACTGAAACTGCTGCAGTTTAATTCTACAAAAATTCCATGAAAAAGGAGAACTCCTAAACCATTGCCTCCATTTTTTTAGTTTGTGGGGTTTATTTTTCTATTTGTTTTGATTTGTTTGGTTTGCTGTGTTTTGTTTGTTTTTTTTTTTTTTTTTTTTTTTTTTTTTTTTTTTTTTTTTTTTTTTTTTTTTGTTTTTTTTTTTTTTTTTTTTTTTTTTTTTTTTTTTTTTTTTTTTTTTTTTTTTTTTTTTTTTTTTTTTTTGTTTTTGTTTTTTTGTTTTTTTGTTTTTTGTCTAAGGACCTTTTACTGTATAATAAACAGTTTGCATTTGGGTCATGTAAGCTCCCTCAGCTTGTCTTTCAAGAAAGTGAGGAAACAAGGAAAATGAAGGTGAGTTTTTCACTCTTCCATCAGACATGGCCTACATGAGCTATCTAATTTGAGTACAGAATTCTCATGGTGTGAATTATGTTGCAAAGCAAAAAGAAACCGAGGAAATTGGACTTTTTGCAGTTAGCCTTGATCCCCTAGGACTGTGAACAGCTTTCACCAGTGGGGATGCTCTGGTGGTTTCCACAGGGACTGCAGAACTGGCCACCTTGGACATGTTCCTGAGCACATCTACCAGCCAAACCTGGCACAAACTGAGCTTTGTGATTCCTTTTTTCCTCTCTGCAGCTCACCCAACCCTTTACAACTGAGGCAATCAGCATTTCTCTGCCTTACATGGTAGGTAGGGAAGAGGCCTCAGCAGCTGTTAGGACATACTGATAAAAGTGTAAGGGGAGGGCGAGATGGTGGACAGCTGCAGGCAAGGCAGCCTGACAGCTGGAACTTCCCAGAAGGGCAAGTCCTGCCCTGTTGAGGAGACTATCAGGAGGGCGACAGCGGAGTGCCTGTGCCTGTGCCCTGGGCACCCATCGCCACACAGCGCCGCCCCACCAGCCGCCATCTTCCCCCCTGCCCTCAGGCCACCATCTTGCCCCGGGGCGCGCCAGGCGGAGCGCGGGCGGGGGGCGCCACCTGGCGGCGCGCGCGGGACAGCGCGCGCGAGGAGGCGCGCGGGCGGCGGCGGGAGCGCCCTGAGGGGAGGGAGCGGGAAGCGAAACTTCGTCGGTAATAAATAAATAAATACGGCCTTGCGAAACTTCGTCAGTAGTAAATACGGCCTTGCTGGTGTTTCTGGTAGCTGCGTATTAGTTTTTACTGAATTAAGTGTAGTGTCCGGAGAAAGAAGGAGGAAACATCGCCCATGAGTATAGATGGTTTAAAATTAAGTATTTTATGACAAAGGGCTTTAGTTTGCACTTAGCAGATGGGGGTTGCAAATTTCTGTAAGCACCATTTACTCCTGAAAACAGAGCAGCAACTCCCGAGTTCTGGCTCCCATGTTAGACGTAGCTTCAGTTGTTTGGATTGGAGTATTTTAGTTGTCATTCTGTCAGAAAAATAATCCTGCAGAGGAAACCAAGAAACCAGTCCTGGAAATCAGGTGATTGTTGCATGATTGGTAAATTCTTGGAAGGCATATCTGGATTTTTCAAATATAGTTGTTAGTCATTCCCTGGAAAGCCTGATGTACCAAGTAGCAAGTTCAACATCTTGCGTATTTTTCCTTGTTATTTTTCTTCTGAAAAATAAGGAAAATCGGTCTGCTTTGTTTTACTTTGTTTTGTTTGGACAAATAATTTGCCTTCTTAATTTTTTTATTACAAATTTTTGGTGGTGACACATCTCCTGATTTTGTTGGCTTGCGATGCGTTCTTCAAGCTGGCGTTGTCACTGAAAGAAAAAAGGCTGTGTGACATGCTCTTTGTTCCAAGTTATTTAATCCAACATGGTCCTGCATCTCTAAGCAGTGCTCTTAAGAATCTGTGGGCTGGTAAGAATTATGTGTATAGCTAACATTTGCATCATGGGTACTTTAAGGTACTCCTACAGCCAATCTTGCAGGCATCATGTTGATTAAAGAAGCAATGAATTATAAAAAATTTTTATACACTACTAGAGGTGTTTAAACCACTAGAGGCAGTTCGTTCTTTAAAATTAGATTTCTCTCATTAAAGTTCACAAGAGCTACATTTACTGGAAAGAACTGCATTTGTATTTGGGTTTCTTTTTTTATTTCTGTTTTAATCCTGAGATGTTTGGTATCACCAAAATTTGTTGGTTATGCTTTCTCCTCCTTCTCCAATATTTTGTATTTCTCAGTCCCTATAGAAGATGAAGTTTATTTACTTATTGGCTGGTGTAGTTACAGATGTGATTCTGGAATGGAATCGTATCCAATGGATATGATTCTGTATCCACTTTTATGTATGTCCAATAGAACTGCATGAAATCTGTTTTATAACTCCCTAGTTTACATTTTTAAATGAAATGGTTTTTATCTCCCTGTCTGCAATGGCTTTATTGGCTACTGCTATTACAAACCTCAATGGAAAAATTTTAGTTCCTTGCGTTCTTCCCAATGAGTAAATATAAGTAACAAGGGACTAGAATAAGGTGTCATATCAGTGAGAGCTGGAAGTGCTGTTGATTCATAATACCAAGAAAGTTAGTGGACTTCTGTTAATGAGACCAAAAGAGAAAATTTCCTAGTAATTTTCAAGTTTTCAAGCTATGCAGAATTGCAATCTGTTTCAGCCACAAGCATCTTGCTGCCCGAGGACTGAATTAATATCTCACCAGGTCTCCTTGTGATCTGGTAAGCAGGGAAGAGAGTTTGCTCTTAATTCAGCACTGCTCACAGTATGTAATTTCTTCTTAAAAAGCAAGACCCAGAATTTATATGAAATTACTAAGTAAAACAACACCTGGAGCAAAGAGGACTCTTATAAAATGTCCAGGACTGCAGCTTGAGCTCTTGTAGGAAAAAAAATGGTGTGTTTCACAGGAACTAAAAACTGGATTCTAAAAAGGATTAAAGTAGATAAGAACAAACACTTACTATTTGTGCAATTAATAGCCTAGTTGGAAGCAGGAACACCTAATTTAAAATCGATATGGTCATCCCAGAAGTTGAAAGTTTTGCTAAGAATCTCTGGCATTTGAACTAATTTTTTAGGAAAGGAACAAAGGTATTGTACTACATACTGAATTATATTTAATGCCAACTCACAACATCTGCCTGTAAACACACATGCACACATCTATAAGGAGTCCTATTTATTCTTACTGTTATTCTTGCTCTATAGCATGACTAATTCTTAATGTGTTGTTGCACATAGTTTCTAGAGAGTAAAATCAAGGGTCAGATACCTAGTCATTTTTTACAATTCATGAGTATTTCTAACCTGAACATTTTCCTGCAAGACTTGCATTGAATACTAAAGTTTTCTTATGAATTTTAAAAAGTTCAGTGTGCGAAGACATTTTGTAGTTCTATAACATATCTCACCTTAGAACTGAGCAGCTTATACAGCTCAGCATCAGTCAAACCTTTGTAACATATTTTTTTCCTAATATCTAGTTTGTGATTTAGTCATCACCCTGCAGCCTTTCTTCAAAAATAGGAAAGTTGAAGGGCAAAGTTCAGCAAATTACACTAACATAGAGCAGGTCTAGGACAGTTGGAACTGTATCTCTGGTGGGCTGATCAATAATGTTATATTAGTACTATGCTGTCTGCATTTTCAAGTTGCAAAAAACTCTTGAATGTAGCCCACCAGACCATTTGAAATCTGTACTAATAAGGGTACCAGTTTTCTTTGGGTTTTCACTTGGAGTATTTTAGTTTCAGTCACCTAAGTCAGTGGTAACAGCCTCTGGATATGTTATTCCCCACCTCTCTGTATCTTTTCCCCAATGAGTTTTGGTCTGTTCACATTTAAAGATTTATCTTAGTTATAAACTGAGACCCTTCAGCTGAGACTAGGATATGAAGTTTTTAAACTTGAGTTTTTGAAATGGCAACCCTAGGGATTGAAATACCAGGATCATTTAGTTAGAAAAAAAAAGGGAAGCCTATATATGCAGATAAAGCATAGCTTCCTTTGCAAGAGCATTGAGTTCTACTTGTGGTAAACCAGCACCAGGTATTTAAAAGTCCTACTTTAAGCAACCATCATAAGAAAGTTTATGTTAAATGTCTGCATGAGTGCAGTAAACTGCCTCCTTGGCATTGTTTCAGGAGGGATTTAGTAGAAGTGTACTACTGTCACTGTACTATGCTTATAGAGAAGTGTAACATGCCATAACACAGTTTCAATAGCAGCCAAATTACTACCCTGTCCAAGTACTGTTGTTTTCTGTAATTAAACGTGATGAGTCTGAGCTATTTGTTCTGGTGTTTTTTTGGTTTTTTTTCCCTCCTCTGGGACAAAGTGTTTCATCTGTTTGTTTTCACTCTGATACCCTAGGAACTTCAAAGCAAATCATAAAGGGTTACCACCTTCCTGCCTCATCTAGTTACTGAAATTGCCCTAATTTTTTTTATGTATCCCAGCACTTCCTAGTTCCCTTGTAAATTCACTTTCCATTAAAGGGAAAATCAGACACATATATCCCTTCAACTAGTCCCCATCTCCTAGAACTCATTTTCCTAATCTCTGCAGAAAATAGCACTTAGAGTAGGTGCTGCTGACAATCTGTTAAGCAGGTTATATCTCTTTTTCTTGCTCTTTTTCTCAGCTAAATGAAACAGTTTAAGAAGAATATATGAGTGACATCCCTGAGACCTGAGCCAAAAACTGAGGTTTTTAAAAAATATATACCTTTTTTTAAAGAAAAGGCTTTTGGGTTAGAAAAATACTGGCAAGTGAATTTTAGAAGTACTTTTAATCACATTTTGAAGGAGTGAAAAAATGCTGAGAATTAGTTAATCCTGTCAATTGTGATAGGCTATATTTCCCCCATAATTTAGCAGAGTAATGAAGTCCAACTATTAATAAAAAGAGAATTTAGAAAGTCATTAAGTATTTGTAGTGGTATAGTGATGCATCTGGGACAACTCTGACAAAACTGATTAGCTGATGGAATAGGAAACAATTCTGAAGGTAGATGCTTGAAATATGTTTTTGTGTTGAATGCCTGATGTAGTCTAGGGAAGGAGAAATTCGGATAACAGTTCTGAAGCCAGCACTAGCTAAAGGCTTTTGAGCCAGATGGACCCAATAGAAGGGCCCAGTGCAAACTGAGATGTTTAATCATTCTGATTTGTCTGAATACTATCTATTATAATACAATTTTTTTCTTATAATGTATTCTTGATATCACTTTTCTTTCATTCAATACTGTGATGAAACCAGAGTGAAAAAATTGTTTCTAAAGAATTCCCGTTCTTGGTGATATTTCTTTTGTACGGCTCTAACCATGAGTATTGTTACCTTTAAAAAGTGGGACATGATTTGCCACCAAGGCAGAATGGAAGTTCTACAGCAACAGTAAATGAATGTTACATATACAGAATTATGTTTGTGATCTCTGCCACACTAGGACTAAAGAATTTAAATAAATGTATTCTTGAATTAACTAAAGTATTAACAGAAGTGCAACTTCTTGGCCAATGAAAACACTACAAAACAGACTGTTAAGAATGGTAAAACTTAGCCTGGCTAAATCAAAGTTTTTGAACTTTCAAAAAAATAATTCCAGAAAACTGATAAAATGATGTCTGTAAAGATGTTGCATTACCGGAGTTTCCCACTATGATCTATATAATCATTGTCATCTTTGTTCCCAATTTTGATTTTTCTCTGTGTATCAGGTAGAAACTTGTATTCTCTTTTGCATTGCTTAAAACACATATAATACAGCTTGCTTGAATTCTGGCAGTTTGTGTGACAGCTGAGACTTGTGTTGTATCAACATGTGTCTTTTTCACTATTTCTTGAAGTTCTCAGACAAGACAATTCTTTCAGCACACCCTAAAGAAAATGGGAGACTGCACTCACTACAGGAAGGCATGCAGTAACAAATATTGGTGACCGTTCTCATGTAAAACAGAGATGATGTGCTTAATGGCATTACAAGGGGAGTCAAGACATGCTTATCCTTTTTCATTTCATACATCTAATGAAGAGTAAATATATGTGTGTATAAATATGCATCTCAAAATTATGAGTACTGCTCCTCCATTCATTCCTAGTAATGAAGATACATTCTTTCTTTAAGAT